TGTTTTTAACGTCCGCCTGCCAGTGTTTAAGCCAGAGCAGGCGGCGAGCAGTGACATGGGACGTTATTGCCCGGGCAGAGAACTTGACCGCATGGAAGGTGGCGTCAGTGGAAAATTCCGCCGCGGCCGTCAGTTTTGCTATGTCCTGGTGAGCCCTTGTGTTGGAGGGGGGAACATGTTGCTTCAGTTGCCGAAGCCACCGGATCGAGGATCTGGTGAAGAAAGAAGCTGCAGTGGCTGATCTAATGGCCCAGGAGTCCGCTTGGTGAGCTCTACGTAGGGCGAGCTCGGACCTCTTGTCCTCGGGTTTCAGAGCCTCTAGGGGGTCACTGGGGGAGGACGAGGAGGCCAACCCAACAATGGGCTCATCCACCTCGGGGGTGTTGAGTAAGTCACAGAAACTCGACTTGAGGTTAAAGAACCTCCTGTCCAGGCTGGATGGGGCGGGAGGGGCCCTAGTAGAATTCAGTTGATTTGAGACCAGGTCATGAAATAGGGGTGGAGCCGGGATTACCTCCGCCTCCACCACGGGTTGACTAAAGATGGCGTCCTCCTGACCTTCTGCCGGGGAGGGGAGAGCTGAGGAGGTTTGCACCGACAGGCCAGAGATGTTCCTGGCTTTGAATAAAAGGGATTTAAACATGTGGGGCTTGAACAGGCCCGCAACAGTGGGTTGGTCCGGGGTGAGACCCTCATCCTCGGACATGTCCCCCTCCATAGGATCTACCTCCGATAGGGGCTCCTCTTGTTGCATAGACCCCCATTCCATTTCCTCTTCCCCCCCAAATTGGTCTAGATACTCTATATCCTCCTCCGGGTCCCTCTCTGGAGAGGACTGCCCCCTTGAGAAGGTACCTGACCACGAGTAGGGTCCGATCTAGGCGAGGACCTCATTGATGGTGGGTCGTGTTCGGGCGCCAGTGAGGGGGGAGTAGACCTGGACATCTGTTGAAGGCCCTCTGCTATCCCCTGGCGAATGGCCCGTTCCATCAATGCCTGTATGTGCGCAGGGATCTCGGATGAGGGGGCCTCCTCCTGGCGAAGACCAGCGGCCGTGGGCGTGAAAGTAGCTTCAGGAGGTTGTCTGGTTGATGGGCCGGGAGCCTGGTGTCCCTGGGATGGGCTGCGCCTGGAGACGGAAAAACAATCTGGAGGAGGGGGGGGGTCTGGAGGTAGAAGGAGCGGAGGGTGCTGGAAGTACCGGTTGTGTCTCTCTGGACCGCCTGTCAAATTCCCTCTCGAGAGCCCTGTGACGTCGTAGGGCGTCTCTCTGAGAAGCCTTAGAGGTCTCTTTAGGTGTTTCCTTAGGAGTTTCCTTAGGAGTTTCCTTAGCCTGTTTGCGCAGGTGGTAGGATTTGGATTTGGCCTTCAAAGAAGGGCCTTTGGTGGGAATGTCATCTGCCATTGTACAAGAAAGGACAGTAATACAGTTAAAGGCGGTTGGCTCGCCAAGGGTTCGACCTACAACAAAGGTCGGGTGTCCTTTCAGCTGGCCCACACCCCCTTTTGGAATTTAGATGTATAAATTCTGTAATATAGATGTTGAAATAATTCTTAATACTTATCTGCACAAGCAGGATAACAATCCAATGAGACTTGGAATGCTAAGGTACAATATCAATAAGAAAAAAATTACAGGAATAAACTCACTCAGGTCTATCTATATGTGAGTATAAATATAAACCTATATATGAGGAAATATCTAGACCTACATACAGGCAGATATTCCAATGTCTATTAGAATTAGAACTATTGTTAATATTCTTGTTCTAATATTATTATTAGTAATATATGATTATTATTAATATTATTATTATAATTATTATTATTGTAATTATTAATATTATTATTATTACTCTATTAATGAAAGATTGCCAATTATCCGAATTAAACGCCTGAGGCTGGAAGAGAGGCCTCTGGCAGCTGGAGCTCCCAGGCAACAACCGGGAGGGATAGGCTGCAATCACTTGCCCTGAGCGTGCTGCGGGAAGCCAACAATTACTAAATTGTACCAATTAGCAAAGGCCCTACAGGCTGAGAGGCCTGTGCTAGGGCCGGTTACTTCGCAGCGCTATGAGGCCTCAATCTTTTTATTTTATTTTTTAAAAGATGGCGCCCGCCACGTGGGGGCGCCCTAGAGGCGATCGCCCACGTTGCTAATGTCCCGGGCTGCTCAGGGCAATGAAGTTTTTTACTTCTCCGGCCTTAAAAGAGGCCGAGGAAGCCAAGCAGTAAGTTTTCGCCCCTTCTTAGGGCAAGCGGCGTTTGCGGTGGGGGGGAATACCAGCAGCACTTATCAGTGCGATCAGTAAAGCTGCTGCAAGCGCAGCGAGAGAAACGGCAGGCAAGAGATCAAATTGGGGGGGGGGGGGGAATTAGCGCCGAAGCGCGAAAGTAGCCCGTTCTACAACCCCCCTGGGGGCGAAAGAAACGCGCTCCCCTTAAATCCCCAGTCCTGTGCCAGAAGGCTAAGGAAAATAACTTGTTTTTTTTTTTTTTTTATAAATAGATTCAAACCTGAGAGCAGTCTTGGATCGGCCAAGGAGTGAGAAATGCACAGCCTAACTTGACGACGGCTGAGCGCAAACTGGGGAACGCAAGAGAGCCACGTGATGGAGGGCGGAGCGTTCCTCAGTGATTGAGCTCAGCCATCAACGACGTAGACTGAAGCACCTCCCGCTCTCTGGATGATCCGAACGGCTCTCAGGAGAACCTTGCTACTCTTTTCATTTTAAGTCAGCAACAATTTGACAGGACTTTAAAACTGTAATGGTGATTATTTCTGTATAGGTATAATCTATAAATACACATAAATGAAAAGAGACTGCAGTAGTGTAATTGTAAGTGAGAATTGAGAATCAGGAAGGGACTGCAAATTCATACAGCTTTATGACACATAAGTTCTGGACATTAGGATTCCAGCATAGATTGACCAAATAAGATGGAGGCAGGCAGAAGGATCTCCATCACCTTGGGGATTTTTATAGTTCTGTTAAGATTTTGATGTTATCTTACCGAACTAAGCTCTGTGGAATAATGCTCATAAGGGAAGGTAGTCCTATGCCAACCAGTGGCAAATACATTTATTGAAGCACCATTGGCTTATGACATGAGGAGGTATGAATGGATAAAGATTGGTGAATCACATTGAATAATTATGTTGCTTTGCTTTTATGTTATCTTCTCCTGCACTAATGTGCACTAACCTGAGCAGACAATCTCCTTAAGCAGGAAGACACTAAAACTAGCAATTCTCTTTAATTTGGACACATGCCTCTCTGTTCCCTGAGAAAATAATATGACTGACTAGATAAGTTGAGGTGATTTATGCCAAAATTGAGGAATGCATGAAAGGCTTAGGTGTATTGTAACCTAGAATTATTACCTAAATTGCTGCTCACTTTGTCCTACTGACTTCTGAGGTTAGTGTGTTCACTGGAGATAGAGATCCATTCTAACGATGACCAAAAGCTGACCAGTTCCTTAAGCTGCCAATAATGAAATTTCATAGGAAAACTGTGGCAAAAGGATTTTGATGGGTATCCTGAGAAAAATATAGCTTCAGAATGCTTGCCATTTTATCTAGCTCTTAAAGATTATCATCAATGAGTTATAACTTTTCATTATAGATAGGAAACGTAAAATTCCAAGAGCTTGAAGCCCCAGAAAGACATGCTAGATAGCAATATTAAAAAAAAATAGATATATGTTCATCCATGAAAAATGTTTTAGAGAATGTGACTGTAGAGTAACTGATGCTGATGTGGGTTCAATGTTCTTTATGAGTGGTTTTACAAATCCCAAAATATTTTGCATTCTTTATCCCAGGCCATAATGGCTTCTTTCCAAATTTCGTACTAAAATCTGCATGAAAACTAATTCAGATTAAAGCATGTTCCTATTGGATCCAGATTCCAAGAGCCAAAAGATGAAATGTCAGGTAGGTCATAAACTGCTATAATTCACATCCTGGCTTAAAAAAAAAAACCCAAACATATGGAATGTGTTACTCGAAGTAAAAAGGCAAATCCTCACTTCAGAAATAATAGACCAAACATCAGATGATAACTTGGTTCTGGCTTTCTTTTTTGCCTCTAACTATACTAGAAGATTTGTGTATCACTTTGCAAAATAATAACAATAATAACAACAATAACAATAACAATAATAATGGCTGACCAACGGAACACTGAAGAAAGAGACAGAAGGCCTGATTCTTGCAGCCCAAGAACAAGCCATTAGAATGAATGCAATCAAAGCCAGAATAGAAAAATCTGCTGATGACCCCAAATGCAGACTCTGCAAAGAGGCGGACGAAACCATCAATCACATACTGAGCTGTTGTTGCAAGACAATCGCTCAGACTGACTACAGACAATGTCACAACACACAATATTGCTCCATCTGCCTGTAGCAAAGAACTGGAGATTATAAGCCTGAAAAAGTGGTTGAAAATGAGCATGCAAAACTACTGTGGGACTTCCAAATACAGACTGACAAAGTTTTGGAACACAATACCCCGGATATCACGATTGTGGAGAAGAAAAATGTGTAGATCGTTGTCATTGCCATACCTGGTGACAGCAGAATCGACAAGGAACAACTTGAAAAAATCACCAGATATCAAGACTCGAAAATCGAACTGCAGAGACTCTGGCATAAACCAGTGCAGATGGTTCCAGTGGAACTCGGCACACTTGGTGCTGTGCCTAAAGACCTAGGCAAGCACTTAAAAACAATTGGCGCTGACAAAATCACTATTGGTCAGCTGCAAGTGGTCACCTTACTGGGATCTGCTCACATAATCCACCGATACATCACACAGAGAAGTGTTCGACTAGTGATTTGTGATACAAAATCCAACATAGTTATCTCGTTTGCTGGGTACACTGTTGTTTTTTGTGTCAAATAATAATAATAATAATAATAATAATAATAATAATGAAAACTTATAGTGTTTAAAATCTGAAATAGTATTTACTTTCCTTTTTATTATTTACCTTTATCTACTTCATTTGACATGTTCCAATTTGACGCAGGCATTAAATCAGCGGTAGCTGACACATTTGTTCCTGAAAGAGAAAAAAGTCAATGCATAAACATTATATAAACTAGGAAATATAGGAGTCACATATTTTGACAAAAGACTTTTATATGCCAAAAATACATGTTCTAGTTGTTTAGATCTCATGAGTATGCTGTATTGCCAGAATTGTTCAGAAAGTACAATAAATGCAAAGACTGTTTATTGAAAAAAAGCAATAATGTCTGGAGATTTCCTGATTATTTAAAGAAACAAATCAGTAAATATCTGGAATGGCAAACCAGATAATTTTGGAGAGTTCAGGTTTTTCGATTTATTTTTGTTTTTGGCAACAGAATACTACTGTGGCATTAATTAATTACTGTGTGTTGAAAAAATGGGAATTATAGAAGTGGAAGAAAAAAATTGCAATTAGTCTTTCAGTTTTAAAAATTTAATGAGCCATCAGTGAGGAATTCTAAGAACAGGTAGATGGGAGAGGGTGGAGTGGCAAATGACCTGCCCCATTTCAGAATCTGCTCCAATAATACGGGCCAATACATGCAACTGGGGTAGGTAGGATGGGTGGGTTTCTTTGTACGTTGGTGAATTTAACACCAGTCTAAAGCTTCTTAGAAGAAATTTAAAAGAATACGTTGGACCGTTGGACCCTGTTTTTTCAATATTTGATTACTGATTCTATATGCAGGGGTGTCAAAACTGGTGGCCCAGTAGCCGGATGCGTCACACACAGACCATGCCCACCCCAGCTTGCGAATGGGAAAAATGTCACAAAACATCATGTGACAGCAATGTGACACTGCAAATTTGACACCCGTGCTGTAGAGAATGTGGTTCTTTCTACTCAAGGGTGAATGTCCATGTTTTGCTTTTAAAAAATGTACATCGAGATTGTGGTAAAACGAGATCACTTCAGTACACAATTGTACTGTTTTGAGCAGTAGTGTAATTTAAACAATAATAATTAAAATTTTAAAATGTTGGGCAAGTATATTCATAGAAGAATCATTAAGCATGGGCCAGTTCTGTAAATTTATCTATGCACTGGGTTTTTTGAATGACAATCTATATAACAGAAGATACTACCAGCAATTCTTTTGATTTCAAAATGTCCCACAAATGAATTAGGTAGAAGAAATATTTATTTTAGCTACTGGCAGTGAGTATAAAAATACATTCAATTTGTATAGATTTCATGGTGCTTAAGTAACTATTGTTTCTACTATATTTTATAGAACAAGGGGGGAAAGAAAGAGCAGTAAATCACAAAACATACCTCTGACATATATATTAAATAAACTAGTTTTTCATATATATTTATTTTATAGTTTAATCAGAAATAAGAAAAAATGGGTACTTCAATATCTACTAGTATAAGCAGTATACATTCCTAAAAAGACAGACATTTCTAACTCAATACAATTGGTAAAAATGCTGTACAAATACAGAAAGAAAGATAACTTCTTCAAATTATTGAAAAGTAATGCGTCCAGGTTAATAATTTTTGCAACTATAAAAACATCCAAAGTGTATTTTTCTTGTTTTCCTTTTAGTTTCCATGCCATATTTGATTCAAAAGAATGCAAGCATCTATGAAAATCAATAAGATTTTCTGAACAATGTATGTGGAATAAGTTAAATCCAAAAAATAACTATAGTTCCCAATCACATTCCCAATCACAGTATTGCATTCTGAACACATCTCAGCCAACTGAGCCAATTAGCTGAACTTGTCATTTTCTACATCATATGATAAATAGGTGTCAGAAGTAAATGAAATCATAATTTCGGGGGAATTATTTCTAATGTTAAATCTACAGAAATGTGACCTAAAAGTCAAACTCATCTTCCACTGATGTTTGCAAGCTGGGAATAACAATTTCTCATTCCTGTAACAATTTGGTATTATTTTGTGTTTTTTATTCTCAGTTACCAGTTCATTTTTTTATTGTATGTTGTATATTTTAACAATTACTTATATGTTTTTCTTTAAAATGTAAACTTTGTTGCCAGAGTTGCTGAGATAAGAGGGGTGATCACATCAATAGATAGATCCCAGGCCAAAGATGGCTGTTACAGGAATATACAATCTGATTAGTTACAAGGCCCTTATCATAAACACCATGGTGAATATCTATTAGAATAGGAGAAAGAAGTTATGAAATGAAACCCCCCAGTGTATAAAAGTATTTTGCCATTAGATAATCAACTATCTGGTAAGGCGTCTCTTTCTGTCTCTCTGTCGCCCCTGCTCTAGAATTAGATAAATATCAGGAAAAAAATGTCACAAGCAATATACACAATCTGCTAGTTCCCACATGAATTGTCTTCAATATTATTAGTATATTGAGGAACCAAGTTATTTGGAAGCAGATCATACTTGCTTTTGCTTCCAACTTTTTTTACACTGTGCACGATGTTGTTAACACCAAAAGGAAATTGTGTGATGGCTAGTATATGAACAAGACATCTTGTGGCTAAGAGGCTACAAGAGACTTTGTGGATTTTCTTGCAAAAAGGAAGAAATATGATAGCTGGAAACTCTATAATTTATACAGTTCATAAGATCCTATGATACAGGTCTTGTTTAAGTAGGCATAATTGTCTTCTACTAATGTCTTGGACATTAAACAGGAAGTAGCGCATTTCTAAAAATTTAATGAGTCCTTCAGTTAGGATTATAGAGTTTTACATATAAAACTTAGAAAGCCTGATATGAAGCAAAAAAAAAAAAAAGCACCTTATTTGAGAACATATAACCAACCACATTAGGATTTTCATCAGCTATTATGAAGCATTGTACACGGTTATATTTTGCTTAGATTTTTGTTACAGACTGGAATGCTTTACCCAGGAATGAGAACACACACAGAGCTATGAGTCTTTTAAAGCTCCCAAGTCTCCTCAAAGTGTGAGTAAGTTTGGAGATGTGCTTAGTGGATGAACTCTGCAGTCAATCATTCCTGAAATACAGAAAATAGAGGTACTTGGCAAAATTGCACTGTTTTAAACCACACTGCTATGTCCTTAATCCACACCAGGTGTGAAGATATTAAAAATGCTGGATGTGATATTAGCAAGCAGGGCAGAGAACATTAATGCTTGTGAGGTTTTAATGCTCATTTTATTTATTTATATATTAAAACAAATTATTATTGGTAGCTTCCTGGCTGAATAAAACAAAGTGGAAGCACCCATTGATAGATTAAAATCCATCAAAACAATCACAACAGTGATAACAATAACCACATCAGCACCCACAAAGAAATATAACAATAAAACAAATACAAAAAACAAAAGGGGGAATTGAGTAGACACCTAAAAAGTGTGCAGATGACACAAAGTTGGGAAAAACTTTAGGTGAGAGGTTATATAGGAAGTTCTAGAAAGGATTGAGCAATAGCCAAAATGAATAGGATGGAATTTACCACACAGAAATACAAAGCTCTACATCACAATGGGGAAACTATAAGGCACAAGTACAGGAATTGGGAGATCTGGCTTGTTAGTATTATCCGGGTATGATTATTGACCACAAGTAAAACATGAGCCATTAGTATGGTTCAACTGCACAAAAAACCCAAGTCATAGGAAGTAATTGCTTGCCTTGGCTCAGAACCCATTTAAAGAATAATGTCTAGTTCTGGCCACCAAAGTTCAAAGGGACCCTGAAAATTAGAAGGAAATGCAAAGATGACCTAGTAAGATGATGAATGGTCTGGAAACCACATTTATTGATTAAAGTGACTTGGTATGCTTAGTATACTGAAAATACAAGTGAGGAGGAATGTGACAATAGTCTTAAAATATCTGAAAAGCTATCACAGAGAAAACAGAATAGTCTTATTATCTATTATTCCACTACCACAAGAAAGTAGGTACGGGCAAGACACCAGGAGAAAGCGTGTTAGCTGTCAACCACTGGAACAAGTTGCCACATGAGAAGGTGAGTTCTCTTTCTTTAGAGATCTGTTGAAGTCTGAATAGTAATCTGTTTATCTGAACCTGGATGGGATTTTGTCAGAACTTCTCTAGTGCATTCTGCAAATTCTAGTGAACTTGAATAACTCCACAATCCTTTGCAAATCTCTGAGTGTAGATGAACTGTAACTTTCAGATTTCACCAAAACTTTCCTTAAAAATAAAAAAGTTTAGCTGTCAACAGTGGTGTCCCCCAATGCAGTGTTCTAGGACCAACTCTTTTCATACTCTACTTAAATGACCTCTGTGATCATATCAAGAGCAACTGTGTTCTCTTCGCTGATGATGTAAAGCTATTCAACACCACAGACAATACTGCTACCCTTCAAAAAGACCTTGACTATGTATCATAATGGTCAAACAAATGGCAACTTCAACTCTCAACAAATAAATGCTCTGTCCTACATATTGGCAAAAAAAATCTGAAAATAAAATATAGGCTGAATAGTCAAGACCTTGTTGATGATCCAAACTCTGTCAAGGATCTTGGAGTACTCATCTCAAATGACCTAAGTGATAGAGCCCATTGTAACTACATAGCCAAAAAGGTGTTAAGAGTTGTTAACCTAATCTTACGTAGCTTTTTCTCTGGTAATATTACACTAATAACTAGAGCATACAAAACATTTGCTAGACCAATACTCGAATACAGCCTGTACAGAATTCAGTCTGGAACCCACATTATGTATCTGATATTAACACAGTTGAAAAAGTCCAGAAATATTTCACAAGAAGAGTTGTCTACTCCTCTACTCGTTGCAGAATATCTTATGCCACCAACTCGAAATTCTAGACCTAGAAAACCTAGAACTACGCCGCCTTCGGTCCGATCTTAGTATATAAAATCATGCATTGCAATGTCCTACCAGTCAATGAATACTTCAGCTTCAACCATAACAACACAAGAGCAAAAAATAGATACAAACTCAAGGTTAATCACACCAAACTTGATTGCTAGAAATACAACTTCAGCAACAGAATGGTCAATGTCTGGAATACTCTACCTGACTCTGTGTTTTTTTCCCCAAACTCCAAAAACTTTAACCT